TTCCTATAAAAATTTTATATTCTTAAAATGTTTTAGTTTTATGGTTAAAATATCTTTATACAGTAATAATATTCTTAAAATATACTAAAAATTAAACAGACAGGTTATTTAAATAGAATTTTATAATAATAAATTATTTTAAATTATATAAAAAATATACTGAATTTTTTGAATTGTAATATTAATAGATATTTAAAATATTCTGATTGGATATGCAAAATATCCTTAAAATTATTTTACCAATAATTTAAGTATGAAATATTTTGATATTAAATTCGATCAGCAAAAAAATATACTAAATATATACTTAAAAATAAAAATAAAAAATGTTAACGTAATTAGATAATTTTTTTTTATCTGATTTTTTAATTCCCAATGTGATTTGATTTTATTTGAAGATGTAATTTAATTATCAATGAAATACAATGATATTAAATCGATCAGCAAAAAAATATACTAAATATATACTTAAAATAAAAAAATAAAAAATGCCAGCATTTACACTTTATCATGTGTATATGTATAAATAAATATCAATCTTATTTTATATGCATAAACACATGATTGCTTTATAATTGTGTTATGTATGCAAATTGTTTAAATGCAAAATGCCAACATAATTAGATATTTTTTTTTTTTATCTGATGTAATTTGATTTTTTATTTTTTCCAGTTCATAAGAAACATAATTAGATATTATCTAAAGATGTAATTCAATTTTTTAGTCTTTCAATTCACAAGACAAAAACGTCTAGTGTAATTAGATTTTTTTTTTTATATAATGTAGTTTAATTTTTTATTATTTCAAATTTATAAACTAAATTTTTTTTTTCTTTAAAATAAGGGTTTCTCCCTCTTACAATATTCATAAGTTATATTATAAAACAAAAAATTTAATCGAAATAAAAACTATTGCCATATTTTTTTTAAAGAAAAAAACAATACACGTAATATAGGACCCAAACAATACTGATACAATCCACATTTAAGTTTGTGTCAAAAGTTGCGTATTACAGAATATTTTTAAAATTTTGTTATCCTACATACCCCTGTTTTTAACACAACCAGTGATTCAATTTTAATATAATTTATATCATTAGATTCATTTCAATAAGAGGATTCTAATGATAGTAAAATCGAATTTCTAGCTTCAATATTGATAGAGGTATATCATAAAATGTATTTTTATTTCAGTACTTAAAGTTTACTTGTAAGTTATATTAGTATTATTTACGGTTCTGTATATAAAATGAACATTCTTCACATATATCATTATAATAAAGTTATTAACCAAATTTTACATTATATTATAAAAAAGATATTACAATATGAAAAAAACTTCAAATAAAAAGTATTCTAAGGGGAGATAAAGTCTATTTTATGTTTTTATCTTTTATAAAAAAAGCAAAAAGTAAAATTCTTTTTTTCATAGATGATCTTATTGATAATAAACAAAACCCATTATACAATAAGAAAGTTAAAAGTTCAGGTGTGTTGAGGTTTAACATTATTTTATAATATTATATAATAATTAAAATGTAAAATTTAAATCTTAAAAATAACAGTAATGAATTATATTCTAAAAAAGGAAGTAAAGTCTACTTCTTATTTTTACTATTTTTTTCGTTTTATAAAAAGTTTTGATGATACTATCACCAACAATCCTAGTAATGAAACTTCAAATGGTACAAATTAAGATTTATTAAAATATAACTCATTTTTTTACTTAATTATTAACTTTTAAATACAGATGTCAAAAATGATAAAGATAATGGCGTCAATAAAGATAATAGCATTGATAAAGATAATGGTATTAATAAAGATAATGGTATTGATAAAGATAATAATGATGATATAAAATAATGATAGTGAAAATAAAAAAGAAAGACTTATTAATAAATTAGGCTCTAATATTTATTATTAACGAATGGCTTAATTCTTTAAAAAAAATGAAGAAAATGAATATTAGCAGTATAAATTTAAATTCTAACAACAACACAGTGCTGGTAATTAAATAAGAGAACGCTTTAATCTTATATTTGTATTCAGATAACGAAAAAGGTCAGAAGCCTAAATATCAAGCTCAATATTGCACAAGTATATTTAATTATCAGGTGAAAGTAATAGTAATGGATTATCAAATAATGAAAGGAGCCAGAAGGTTAAACATTGGGCCCAATATAGAAAAGATAAAAAGAGACTTCATAAAGGAAAATTGTTATCTGTCAAAGAAAATCTGAGATTATTTGAGAGACCACCTGAAAAATCATCTACCTATTAAAGAAAATCTAGGATTTGAAAAATTTGAAGAAGTATTATCAGATAACGAAAGTGATGGAAAAAATCATAAAAAGAATAAAAAAAAGTATAATCTTGATAACAAAACTGTAAATCTTAGTAAAGATTTACACAAAATATTGCAATTTATTCATAAATTACCAACTTGTCTTTTAATTCGTAATTAAAAGAATTTTCTCCCAAAATGAATTGTACAGACAAGCCATTATAAATCACCTAACACAGTGTTGGCATTTGGCCACAGCCAAGAATTTTTTTGGCCGATTTGGCTGGCCAAAATGGCAAAACGGCTAATGGCCAATCCCGGCCAAATTTTGGCCAAATAACAAAATACTTTTACTTTATTAAGGCTGTATTGGCATTTGGCCGTGGCTAAAGATTTTTTTGGCCAGTTTAGCTGGCCAAACTAGTCAAACGGCCAAATGGCCAAGTGCTAACACTGACCTAACGATTCAGAATTTTCATTCTTAAAAGACTTTAAACAAATTGACAACTCTGCGAATAATTTAATTTTAACAGATATTACTTACTCAAATCATACTAGAGTTTCATTTATAGCTAATAATGAAAATAATATTAAATATGTATTACATAAATTAGTAAAAAATATTTTAAATTTTGTCGCAAAAAGTACAAAAAGTCAAATCACTAAAGATATCTTGTGACTAGTAAGATTGCCTGCCTAAACCTCTCCAAAATTCTACGATTAGTTTCTCCAAAATTTTACTATAGTTTTATTATAGTTTTAGCAAGGTTTCAGCAGTTTCGGCATTTATAATAAGTTTCGTCAGATTTCACTTTTTTCCAGAGTTTCGCTAACTTTTTAATAAAACTTTCATATAGTTTCAGCAAAGTTTCACCATTTTGGCATTTTGCCAACTTGCCAAAACTCCTAGTTTCTCCAGCAACTTTACTTGTAACGTAAAGATCTATGCTTTTATGTAGAAGTCTAAAAATCATATGTCTGCTTGCAGGCATTCTGTTTTGCAAATCTTAAACGAAATAAAGGAGAAACAATTCATTCACAAGCCAAAAAAAAAATAATAGAAGAATATCCCAATATAGATCTTGAAGATTTAGATTTAATTCTCCAGATTTTGCCAAGAATATACAGATTATTATAAGTATTTTACGGCAATTGTTTTCTTGGACGTATTTAAAGAAATCACTTTCACATTTTTCAAAAGTAAAATGAAAATTAGCGCTAATTTTGAAATTTGGCTTAATTTAATGAGAATAGGACAATTGGCTAATTACAAGAAAAGTCTAACCATGTGTAAAGAAAGAAAGAAATTTATGAAAGAAGTTAAGCTTGATATTGTTAAAGCATATTTTAGTGAAGTCGATGAAAATTTAAAGGATTTTATTGCTGATGATGACAAAATGTAGTTTTAATTCATTTATTAATTGTTTCTTTTTCTCTTTTTCATTCTTGTGAAAAAATAATAGATGTACATAAAATTTTTATTATAATACTAAAAATGCATCAAACAATTAAATAAATAAATAAAAATTTGCTAAATTTACTTTATTATATAAAATTATATATTATTTATCAAAAAGAAAATTTATTTTTTGTTTAAAAATAATATAATGTATCAGTTTGTCACAATAAACTTCATATATATAAAACCTGGTACTAGGACCCAGAAATATATATAAAAGGGTCAGGTTTGAGTTTGCATATTTTGAACTAAAAAAGTCATGAAAATCTTTCCTTTTTTAGATAATTTTTGATAATGCCAGTCAGACTTTTATTTCCTATTATAGTAACCGACTGGCATTATCATAATTCCAGCCCTGAAAAAATGCGTACAGCTCATAGTAAAAAATTTTTTTCATCACCTGACCCCTATATATATATTTCTGGGTCCTCTGGTACTTATTCATTATCAATAATTACATGATACCTAAGTTGTATGATGAGAACATCAGTACTAATGCAACTCGAAAAAAAATTATGATCTCTATTTCTACTAGTCGTTAGAATTCATAATTTCTATAAAAAACAATATAGCATATTGGTAAAAAGTAAATAAAGAAATGAGATTTGTTTTACCAATTCGTAATAATAGTAAGATAATAAAAAAATTCAGAAGACATTTAGATTACCCTTCATATAAATAATTTGAATTGTGCAATGTATGATTTGTATATATCTTTATTTACATAATGTTAAATTGTTCACTGTGTGCATCTGATTTTAACTGTGAATGTTCTATCACTAAATAAAGTAACATATTATTAATACTCCCTATGAATTACTTTGATAAGAAATTGTACACATTTTTATATTTTTCTAAAATTTTATAAATATCCATTATGATATTAAAAAATATAATAAAAGAATTTTAACAGGGAGAAGGGGAAAAAAAAATCTGATAAAAGAAAATGCCTGGTTCACAAAAAAAGCCAAGCTAAATTACAAGAATAAAAAAATAAATCCTTTTCAAAAAATAAAAGAAAAAGAGAAATAGTAAGTGAATACTTTATAACTGCCTAAAGTGATTATTAAGTTTTGCTCTTAATTTTTCAGATATTTTAGATAGTTTTTTTTTGTTTTTTTTTCTCTATCTTCTATTTTTTTGTTTATCTTTTTTTGGAAGGTTTATTTTAATAAGGATTTGTAAAGTATATAATTTGTATTTAGTTGTTATTTGGTTTCTAACTAAAAAATTGGTTTAGGTCAACTCTTTAAATGAAATGATTGAAAATAAAAATAAAGGTAATTATAAATTATTATTATATAAATAATATCATTAATTACTAACATAGTTTATTTAAAAATTATATAATTAAAACGGCAAAAAAATATTTGCTATTGAATTATATCATCAAAAGTTAAACCAAATAATAGAAATAAAAAATAAATTAGAAAATGATGTCAAATGTAGAAAATAATTTTGTTAATAAATAAAATTCAATTCTCCTAACTTTTCACATTTCATACAAGTAATTTGACAGTCTGCTTTTTTTTCACTTTTTTTTTGATTTTTTACATGAAAGAGTTGTAATAACAGCAGCAACTTATCGATAATTTGGAACGGGTTGAGGTCTTTTAAGAATAATATATAGAAAACTTGAAAAGGCAGAAATCACGATTAATAGGTAAACTTCATGAATGTGAACTTTTTAGCATCAATATTCTTAACTTTTTGTTTAAAATTATAGAAAGATTAAGTAGGGCTTCCAAGAAAGTACCAGAAATTTCCAACAGGCACTTGAAGCTGAAGGTCATATTAATGATCTAAATTTTCAAATACAATCTTTAAAATATCAATTAAATAATAAATAAATATTTGTATTTATAAAAATGTTAAATGTTAATTTTTCAAAATTGTGCTACTCCTTTATAGATATTTGATAAAAAAATTATTTAATTTATTATAATAATGTTGTCTTATAATTATCTTATAATTGTCCTGTAATTTCTGAAAAATCATGATAAAATTAATCAGCTTATTTATACTTTATTTGTGCTGGTATAATATAATAAACAAATTACTTTATTGAGTGTTGCTGCTTTTACTCCTGATAAAATCGGTGATTTATTTCAATAAATTTATCAATTAATTATCTAATATTTTGTATGATAATAAATATAATCTGTATGGCTTTGTATGAACATTACTGACACAATGATGTATAATACTCTCATAATACAATGTGTGGCTGTAATTATTTATAAAAATGGCTGTACTACTTATAAAATTTTTCATTTTTGATATACCATATTTTTGTTCTTATCGAATTTGTAAAATTATTAATGGTAATGAAAGGTGATTATCTACTAAAAAAACTCTTAAAAAATATCAAAAAAAGGAAAGAGAAAGTATTGAAAAAATTAATGAACCAGATACAGAAAGCGAATCAGAAAAGAAAAGCAATAGTAAATCAATTTCAAGTTGTAATGCAGCTGAAAAAAAAAATTCAAAGATGATGAACTAGATAAATCAGATATAAGTTTAGAAAGTACTAGTTTTTCATATAATGGTCATATTTCTTTAATAATTAAAAGGTATTAATTGTCTTACAAAAAGTAAATCTTACTTTTTATTAATTGTAAGTATATAAACTATTATTATTATAGTAATTACTAAAGTCATGTAAATTACAAATCAGAAGGTTATAATTATGGTAATCCAAGTTTTGATAACGAAGATTATAACAGGAATAATGATAAGCCAAGTCTTGATAACAAAGATTATGATGAAGAAGATAATAAAGGAGATATAGAAATTAAAAGTAATTGTTCAAAAACAAGTGAAATTTCGTCATATATTTCTAAAGAGAATGATGAATTGATGGATGATAATAAAAAATTTGAGAAATCTGAGATAACAAAAATGAGCAACGGTACAGTTAATATTATGTTGTTGATTGTAATTTTGATAGAATAATAAAATGATATTTATTTTATTTTATTTACAAAAGTACTTTATTCAATATCTGACATCGCATTTAACAAAATACTTAATAACTTTAATTCTAACTTGACAATCTATAAGTTGAAAAAAAATTAATAGCATAATTCCTTTTAAATCTCAAAGATATAATACTTGCAAAAACAGTTGTGTTGCATTTACATCATTATACGAAAATTTAGTCAATTGCCCTATTTGTGATGAAAATAGGTTTGATAATAATAGTAAACCTGTAAATAGAACATTTTTTTTCTCATTAAAAGAACATCTAATAATTTAATACAAAAATAAAGAAAGAGCTGAAGAATTACAATATAGAAATACTTATTTTCAAAATAAAAAAGAAAAGGAATTATATGCTGATATTTTTGATGGACTATGAGTAATTTAATTAAATAAATCATTTTTTTTTAATAACTAATATAAAAATATGATAGGTTATATTAAGACTTATTACTCAGAGGCTTTTTTAAAGATAGATAGGATATTGCACTATTTGAGATATGTGATGGATATCAGATTTTTAAACAATGGACTGATAATTGTTGAATCATCTTATTAATAAATAATAATCTTAATCCTTTTATTCATGTAAAAAAGAAAATTTATTGGTAACAATAATAATACCAGATCCTTGTTCATCAAAGAACTTTAATTCTTTTTTATATCTTCTTGTAAAAGAATTACAGGAACTCGAAGGTAAAGCTAATATTAAAATTTAATAAAATTATTTAATTTTGAAATTTTGTTTTATTAAATATTATAGAAGGAGTTCCTTGTATAGATAAATGAACAGATGAACCTTTTATTCTACATGCATATTTATTAACATAGACGGATGACATTCCAGCGTTGAGTAAAAGTTTAAATTTATCAGGATATAATTTGTATAAAGTCTATTGCTTTTGCATGTTAAAAGGAATCAGCCATCAGATTAACAAACATATATACTATTCATTCTCTGCAATTCATAATATAAGAAACTATAATAATACAATCTGTATGGAAAAATTAATTGAAGAAAAAATGAATAAAGATCAAAATTATCAATTAAACAATTGACATACCTTTTCCTATTTTCATATTCATATGTATAACTAAATTTAGTCCAGCATTTACTAAATATAAAACCAAATGTTTAATAAATCTTTTTAATTTTGTTATCACTTAGTTCTGATGATACTTTTTTTTTCACATTTTTCTGTATAGGATTAGAATATGCAATATGCCTTTTGGCTGTTTTAGCAATACATTTCTTCAGATGATCATTGCTACATTCAATAGTATTTTTACAAATAATTACTAAGGAGTCACATACAGTGCAATAAATATAAAATGAGCATCTTCCAGCTTTAAATTCTCCAGCTTTATATGATCTTTCAATCATTTGATAAATCCATTCTTGGAGAAGTATTTTGAATTATATTCAAGAAGTTTTTTAAATGGATAATGAACATGAGAACACCATATTTCTGATGTTTTACCACTATACCTATATTGCAGATTGTTTAACGCCTGTACTACTATAGGATTTAAATTAGAATAGTTAGTTTTAACCATTTTACAGGTGTAATTTATAGCAATTTATAGCAATTTATAGCAATTTCACTGATTTTATTATTGATTTATAGCTGTTTTAAAGACTTATAGAGTGATTTATAGTAAGTAAATTATAATAAAATATCAGATTCATTTTTATTCAATTGCTTGGGTGAAAAACAGATTCATATTTTTTTTGATTCAGCTAAATTATGCACAGCGCCTTCAGCTAAATTTGTATCACATGTGATCTCTAGTTCCCTACCAGTTTCACGACAATTTCAGGATAGTTTCAGGTACTGGCAAGTTTCTATAAATTACAAGATGATCGGCTAACCAGATTTGAAAAGTTTTATTAATAGCATACACAAGTTTAAAGATGTGATATGTAATTATTTTTAGAAAATTGTAAGATTGCAATTATTACAACATATATACAACACTTTTGTTGTAATTACAACACAATATTATAATTATTATATAGTATTATAATTACTACTAGTATTGTAATTATTATATAGTATTGTAATTATTTTCAATTATACAAATATATATTATAATATATTAATTATTTCTTTTTATGATGATATTTGTTCTATAAAAACCTATTTTTGTAATTTTTATTTTTCAAAAAGAAAATTTTTGAATAATCATAAGTATTGTAATATTACAACACTTTAACTTTAAAAGTAATAATAGGTTGCAACCCTTACTATTACAACACAAAGTAGTAATTATCAATTATATACTACATCTTTACACAAGTTAAAAAAAGGAGAGCTTTTCATTAATAAGCAATAATTCATTTTACAGATAAAAAAAAAGAATCAATATAAAAACTATTTATTTTTTTTTATTTCGGGTCAATAAAATCACGTAAATGTAGTATAATAAGACTTCACTTATAGTGATACTATAATCAATATTGTTTGCATTTTTGTACCTTCATCGAACTATGAAACATTGGTTTGACCATCATTCTTGATTTTGATTTTTTGTTTATTCTTATTGCAGTTTAATATGATGTAGCTCCCTTATTGACTATAACCTAGAAAGGTATATTAGGATTAATAACCTTATATAAATAATGTCTGCACAATTAATCGCCTGTTTACTCAAATTATATTCAGGACTTAATAGTACTGCAAGGCAGTACCCTACGATGTAGAACCCCTTAGAAGTTCGAACTCTCCAATTAATATCATGCGATAGATCCCTTCGAACCAGAGATCTATCACATAGGCTCTTTTCAAGAACTCTGAAAACAAAAATATAATTTCTTGTAAATGAAGACTGCTTATTATCAACCCTGTAACAAATGAGAATAAGTTCATTTTGAATACAAAACTTTTATTGCAATTTTCACGAAATATACAGTTCTTTAAACATCTCTATGATTATTTCTTCTTCTTCGATTATAACTTCAAAATTTCGTAAATAGCACCTTGCAAGTTTTTGACATTCGGTTTGATTTAGTTCTTTACACAGGATCTACAGATACTCATAATTAGAACTGAAATATGTGCCTCCTCAGAAATTAAATATATTACCTTAATGATATTTAAAAACAGATTACTAATCTTATCTGGAATTGATGCATATGGATACAGCTCACAAAACTCAGCAAAAAGCTCCACCCATAATTCGTCATCAAAATATTCACATAATCTGAGAGGACTTTGTTCTTAAAATATGAATATGTGACTTAAAATTCTGTAAAAGAGGAAAAGCTTAGTTATATCTTCATAACTTATATTACTATATGATACTTACAGTTCTACTGTAGCGCTTAAAGTAACTTCCATCAACTCACATTTTTTAACCACAACTGCATGATATTCACAACATATCTCAGTGATGTTGATGTCATTTACAACCCATTGGAAAGAGAGGAATAACAAATAAAAAAATAATTAATATTTCATTCATATCATGTCATGCATTAAAAATGTTTACTCAAATTAAATCTTTGTTCAGGTGCCATTTAGGAACACCAGAACCAGTGAGGTAATCCATAGAATAATTACGGTTTTCTACAATTATATATTCTTCACTAATATTGCAATCAGGAGTAGATGGAGTAGATGGAGAATATGGAACATATAACGAAGTTGTTGTCGTTGCAGATGGTGTAACTAAAGATATAGAAGATTAATATTAATTAGTGATACATATGGGTTGATTTGTCTACTCTGCATTAAAAAGAGTTATTGATTGATTTTCACAATTTTTGTTACTCAAAATTGTTTTGTAATACCAAAAAATCATCTGATTGATGATCACTTGACTAAATAATAAGTTAAACAAAAATTTACATTTGCGAAACTTAAATTATTAAATGTAAAAAAGCTGTGAAAAAACCTATTTCACTAATAAAAAACCCATTTCTCATATATATGGAATTTTTAACATATATTATTAAAAAGTAAGTATATTTTAATAAAAAATAAAGTAAAATAAAAATTTATATAGCCTTAGTAGCTATAAATGTTTATAAAAGTATAATAAAAATATCATATAAAAGATGGTATCATAATAAATATTTTCAAACAATAAAAATAATTATTTTATTTCAGAGTTTGTATTACCATCTTTAAACGCAAATATATCAAGATTCACTGATCCTTTTTCTATAATTTTAGGTTCGTTGGAAAGCCCTTGTTCTGGACTTTATAGGCAAAAAAGAGCTCGCCGATTGAATCATTAGATCCGGAGATATTTACGTTTAAAGTTGAAGTATGAACTTTTTAACATGCTTAAATGCAAATATCATGGGATCCACTGATCCATTTTTTATAAATTTAGGCTCTTTGGAAAGCCTTTGATTTGGTCTATATGAACGAAAAAAGAGCTTGCCAATTGGATCACTGGATGAGATATTTACGTTTTAAGTTGAGATACAAATTTTTAACATATATAGTAAGTACTAAGAATTATATTAATTTAAAAGAAATATTTACCAAATTATAGTATAATAACATTAAATAAAAATTTTTTAATACTCATTTCCAATTTACTGTATATTATATAGTATTTTGTATAATAAAAATGTAATAAAATTAATATTTTAATTAAAGGTAGACAAATCAGCCTATATGATTTAGTTAATATAGAAGTTAATGATATTTTAATTTATATTTTAAATAGTTTAGTTTAGTTTAGTTTAGTTTATTAATACGTGATTAGCATGTAACTTAATACATAATTTATAATATTACAAATATTCAAGAACATTGTAGAATATTGTAAAATAATTTATAGTATCACAATAATTTAGTATTACAATAGTTTTAGTAAAACATCAAAATGTATAAAAAGGACTTTTGTCAATAACTTTTGGAAGCTCAAGAAGTCAATTTTTGATTTAATAAAAGAAATAATAAATATTAATTATTAAAAGTTATTTTGAATATGCTCATGGTATGCCTGAGAGTTAATTAATGTTATATTATTAAGTTTAAAGAGAAGCAAAGTAAAGGAAAACTATCCCAGTTTGATTATTTAATGTAAAGTTTATATAAAGAGAGAGAAGTTATCGCAGTTTGAAAGTTAAATTTGAAGTTATAAGAGAAGTTAAAAGAATGTAAAACCTAAACCAAGCATAATAGGACCTATTTCAAGTTGACAGTTTTGATTTGCAAAAAGCGTCAGATAAGTGAAAAACATTTTTTAGTAAGCAATACATTAAAAACATGATGGCTACCTTATCTTCTGAAGTAGAACAACGCCGATAACATTCATCTTTTACAATCTGATACTGTTGGAAAACCGAAGATGCTTTATAATAAGCTTCACGTTTGAACTTTTAGCTAAAAAATTTCTCAAAGACCTACCAAAAAAAGAAATTGGTTATTGGCCTCCTTTTTCTCAACTGATGAATGGAGATTTGGAGGAGTGGTTATGGTATGAGAGATTTCCTCTGCAAGCCATTTTCTTTCATTCTTGTTTATTTGTAACATAACAGGTTGGAGAGTATTATTTGACACATATTTTTCAAATCGGTTAGTGATCGTTCTTTGTAGTAAAGATCTCTCTTTTGTCATATTCAGAATATATCGAATCTAAATATATTTAGTATGGCAACATAAAGATCAGTAATAATGATTTACAATATACAAATCTGTTTGAGATAAATCTGATTTTCCAGTTTATTCTTCATCAGATTAATTCAAAAAATTAGTAAATATTGTCAAAACAGAAACCATTAAATTCTGAAATTAACCTACTTGACTCATCATGGCTTCTTTTTCGAACAACAACTTTTCTGAATGAACATTTTACTTCTTATCTTGCAGATCCCAAAAATAATTTATTTTTTTTGACTTTTTATCATTCTTATACAACAGAAACAGTGATGATTAGTTCCGTCTTGCATGAAAAAAAAATCATAACTAGCCTAAATCAACGACAAGTACGCAATCTTTTTCCTACAAGTACACAACCCGCAAAGTAGTTGTTGAAGCATTGCATTGTACATTAACACTCTGTGCTCACCAACAAGTATGCAACCTTTCCTAATACCAGTACGCAACCAGCAAGGTAGTTAGTGACGCTTACAAATGCAAGCATTGTGCTATACACTGACACACATTATGGTGTACTTACTAACAAGTACACAACCTTTCTCAGTACCAGTATGCAACCAGCAAGGTAGTTGGTGATGGTGCAGAACAACTCAAGTTAACAACCTCAAATAAATTGAATAAATTTTGCCTTAAAATTTTGATTCCATGTTAGCAACTTTTGCCCAATTTCAGACGTTTCAGTATGGTAGTATTTACTGATAATATTTATTTCACATTTGTATCTAAAATGCTTTTCTTCTTCGCTTTTCAAATTGCCCTCCTTTAAACGGAACTCTAAGAAACTTTTAAGTGAAGGTTTTTCCATGCTCTTCTAAAAGGCTATATATTTTTTTCAAACATGTTATATTATAAAAGCATTTATATAGAAATTACCATTACATTTTGCCTTACCATGATACTTAAGAGCGCTTAAACATTTAGATAGCAAGCGTATTTTACGAAAATAATATAAAGCAAAGTATGATAATCAATTTAGTTTAGTCCACACCATACACGTGACTGTCGTATTCAGAGTAATCATCACGTGATTAATACAGTTGCAGTTTAGGATAAGAACTATATCAATCATTTATTAATATCATGTGATGCTGAAATCAAATAAAAAAAAAAAGTTAATTGCAAAAAAATTAATATTTCATAAACTACCTAACAAATTTTATTAAATTTATATTCAAAAAGAAGATAGATAACCACTCCAATAATTTGATTTTTTTTTTTTTTATTATACAGGTCTTAAGAAAATAGATAAAATAAAAATTTTTGCTGCAAATTACTATACAAAATAAAAGAAATAAGAAAAACTTTTTTAGAAAATTTTTCATTTTTTTTAAATTAATATATAAAAATCTATTATACAATTATTTACTAATTATTTCTAAAAAGAAATAATGTAATTTTTAATGAAAAAAATTTTTTTTAAAAAATAAAACTTAATATATTATAATTTATAAATAATTTTACTTGCTTTATAAATTTATTTAAGGGAAAAATAATACGAACTCTTTCTGATGATCATTATATCCATTTTTTTAGCAGAAAAATATTTTTATTTTTTATCATTTTATAGCTTAAAAAATGTTTCACTAGAAGAAATACCTAATATTATTGACCTTAAACAGGTCAACAAACGTAATATTAATGGAAAGAGCTTTCTTGAAACTTTACATATTGCTCTTCAGAAGGTGAAACTTACTTGTCTGACCACTATTTAACAATATATAAAGCATATTTTACTTACTGAATAATACAACAATACTGAAACCTTGTAAAAAACTACAAGCCAATACTTAAAAAACTTGGTATTAAGAACAACATACAACTCACCTACTTGTTGTTTACTCTTGCCGCTTTTGCTGATGAGTATAAAACCTCTATGAAGAATTACATAGGCAAAACAATCCAAGAACAAGTGGTGCAATTCGAGTTAACAGAACTAACTAATGATATGCTAGTATCAATACAAATATAGCCGATAGAAACTGAAATTTTTGAAAATATCGAACATTAACCAATAGATGTAGAATATGATGATCAAAATACTGAACACCAATCAGAGAACGTAATAGCAGAATCTTCAACAAAGAATTCTTAAAAGAATTCCACAAAACTGAACGCCAAAGCCATACCTTATATTCCAAAAGAAAAAGGATGCACTATCACGTTTGCAGAAATGGCTTCCAGGAATCTAGATGTAGGCAGTAATCATAATACCTTTCTGACTTCATTCAGTAATAGGCAAAAGAATAATGTGACCAAGCATACAACATCTGAGAAGAAGCAACAACACGCTTCTTTCAAAGAAATACAATCAGTAATGACCGAATATACTCCAGTACTTAAGGATAATATTCAGGAATTACTTTATATGATATCCCTCCACCTGGGCTCAACTCGAAATTCTTCAACATCTTGAGAAATAGGTCATGTGATCGCTTTCAAAACTAATAAATATCAGAAGAAATATTTAACAATTACTGTATCAATTGACTTTAATGAGTGAGCTATGAATCTATGGAATCAAGGAGTTTGGACTGCTTCCTTAGGAGGATTTTCTATTCAATGATATCCTGCATTCCTGCTAACTGGAATCTTCAACAAAGAAAGAAAAGAGAATGATTTCAGGCTGTAGTAAAAAATTTACCTAGAATTATCACTACTTCAATGCTATATCTTTACCTTTCCCAATTACTTATATTCCATTTGGGATGCAAAGCTTTCAAGGTGGTTCAGAAGAAAAATATCTGCAAGTTCATCACGTATTACGAATTGGACAGATTTGGATAAAATCATGAATACCAAGTTGAATTTGCAAAATATGAAGGTGTTTGGATTAGATACTTTTTGCCTCAACTATCTAAAGGTCACAATCAATCACCAAAAAGTAGTTGAAATCAGAAGCAGAACCAAGACTCAGCTAACAAGGTTAGATCAAATACTACAAATAACAAGCATAAGGAAAGCAAACCTTCTAAAAAGAAACACAATTCTACTACTCTCAAGAATTTGAAGAAAAGTTTGAATGGTAGTAAAACTGAAAAACTTACATTGTTAGCAAAAATCAGATCGTTACTAAAAAGGCTAAAGAACTAATAGGATGACTGCTCACTTTTGGTGACTATACTAGTAGATAGAATGTAAAAGACACTATAAGGAACTTTGTATTTATAGAATACTAATATTTTCTTTTAGTTTACTCTTTTTTAATTTTTTTTTTTTTTACCCTGACTTTTCTGTTATTGCTCCTTTTATTTCTATTTTATTCGAGTTTGGATTTCATCTGCAGTAGCAGTGAGTCTCTAGAGGCATTCATAGAATTGACTAAGAGGAGGGAATCCCTTTAAGGAAGGACGTCTTTAAGGTATACTTACTTCCCTAGCCTAAGTCCTTCACTGACAGTATACAGTGAAGATTTTAAGAGATTTAATTGGTTAATTTGTTATAGTAAAGGGAAATTTATTATAGTTGTCTGAAAAATTCACTATATCAAAGGTTTGCTATATCAAGGTTTGACTGTACACATGATTATTCCATCATGAGTTAGCAGGTAGTTTAGTTCTTAGTGTTCTAATTTGTTCTATGTATATTGTATTAAAACTTGTCTCTCATAAATCTTAATAAAGAATTATTTGCGCTGTAGCAAAAAAAAAAAAATTTTAAGAAAGGTCATAAATACCATTTTTGATAATTTTGACAATTTATAATTTGAAAAATAAGGAATATTGAATTTCACCTAAGGAAATAAAAATAGTTATATTAAATATTAAAAATCATATATTAGGTTTATATTATCGCTGTTTTCAATTTAGTGCGATCAGCCAATTTTTCAGCTGCATGATGCTAAGGAAATCGGTTTTCACATTTCACGTGATGATCAACATTGATAGCCAATAAAATTTGGAATTTCATAAATTAGATAATCTAGTTTCTCGCTTTGCAATTTTTTGACACGAAAAAAATGGTAAAAGAAAAGAAAAAAAAGTATAAAATTGGAACGTGTTTTGGATGTCAAAAATTTTTATATTGCGGAATAAACTTAGAAAAGGATATATGTAAATGTAAAAAAACAGTTAAACCAACTAGAACAAATAGAACAGTTCAAGTTAAAACTGCATATCCAAGAATGTTTAACCCTACTTCTTCTAATCATAAACAATTTAACTTTATCAAAAGTAAAAATGAATGCTTTCAATACGGATATGATTTTAAAAAAAACATTCAATTATCATTTTGCTCAACATGCAATAGTTCTTATCAACGTTTGTCTTCTAAAAATTCTAACTCTTCTAATAAATCAAATTTAACAGAAGGAACAGAAAATACAGAAGAAAAAGAAACAGGAGGAACGAAAGGAACTGATATTGCAAAAATAATTGATCTTGAAGCTACCTCTTCCGAAATTTCTACAACAATAATTCAAAGTGAATCTAAATATAATAATTCAGAAACTGAAAATGAGAGTGATGCTGAATTAGAATTGGAAGTTAATTACAAACTTGTTATCAAACAAGCAGATGGTACCGTTCTTCCAGCCAAGAACTATTCAGTTACAATCTCTGAGTTGGATGAGTTTTTATTTGCAATTCAAAATAACATCACGGCTCTTCTTAAAGATAATGAAATTAATGCTAATGATTATAATGTTTCTTTCAAATCAGAAAAAGCTCAAGGAGCGGGTACTCTATTAGTAGATGTATGTGATTTTGAGAATTTTAAATCAGAATATATTAAACTTGCTGCTGCAAAGAAGGTTGTGCTTATTCTTATTACCATGAAAAAAAAGGAAAAGCTAGTTAAACGAAAAAAGAAGGTAAATTTTTATTTGTTATAATTAATTTTTTTCTAAATATAATAAAAAATTTACATATCATTTATATGGAATTTTAATTAGGAATCTAATTCAGATAACGAAGAAGCAATTTGTGATGAATCAATTCCAAAGACCAATAACAATAATAAAGTTCCAAAAATATCAGATATCTTCATACTTGATCAAAGAATTGCAAAAAATGTTACAGAGTTACGAAAAGAAACTTGGTGTCCTATGCATAACAGACATTGCCTAAAAGATTGTGAATCTCATACTGAAATAAGTAATATGATGTTTTCAACATGGGCTACGGAAATGGTTGGTTATTTAATTTATAATATTGATTATTAAAATTGTTTAATTAACGCGTGATTTTTTAAAATATTTTAGCTTAATGGTCTTGCAACGGTTAAAGAACCACCAACACATCCTTCATTTGCATATACACACCCACCAAAAAATAGATCTCAATCCATTATACCACAATTTTCTAATAATATACAAGATTCAATTAATCCTTTTTTTTCTAATATTTTACAAGCATTAGTCACTCCACATTTTTTCCAACCACCGCAATCACAACAATCATTCCAACAACCACCATTACAACCATCATTTCAACAGACATCATCACATCCATCATCTCAACAAACTATACCTTCAATGGCCGAATTTTTTCATCAAATAGATGAGATAGAAAAAACGGAAGATTATTATTTTAAATTTTTAGAGGGATTCGAAAAACAAAGAATTAAAGTTAAACATTTAAATAAATTGAATGATGCACAATTCGAAGCTTGTGGAGTAATTGCAATTGGAGATGTTGAAACTATTAGTGAAGCTGCTCAAAATTATAAATAAATAAAATTTTGAAACTCTTAAATTGTCTTAGTAATAAATTGAAATTTTATTTTATTGTTTTTATTCTATTTTTTTTCGTTATAAAAATTTTTTAGTTCTATTTTAAAAATATCCGCTTCCTCTAAAATAACCTCTTGCCATTTGAGATGTAATTTGAGAACAAGCTATAAGTAAAGGATAAATAGGATTATAACTAACTTCCACAAAATATCTATTTCTTTGTAAAAATTGTTTAATTGTAGAAAAAGCAGTTTCTATGGGATTAAGATCGGGTGAATAAGGAGGCAAAAATTCAACTTATACTCCAAATGCACTCAAATAATCAAGAAGGTCTTGATCATGGTGTATTTTAGCGTTATCAAGAACTAAAATGCTATTTGTACTTGGAAAGAGGTTCATTTGTGGCAACTATAATATAATGTTTGATAATTTAGTTATTAATACAAATAATAAATTTTTTAATAATATATAAATAGCACTTACTACTTGTGAAATTACAAATTCCTTAAACTTTTGTTTTGTACAACTTCCTTCTATGATGTCTACAGCAATTATACTTCGTTCTGTTAATGCAGGTAAAAGAGTATATCTTTTGCCTCGAACAAAAACCACTTTTTTTAATGCTCTTGAATTTACTCTTGAATAACCATATAAACGCGTTGAAGTACGCTCATCTTTTGATGATTCATCCATAAATACCAATTGATCAATTCTATAACGGCCTATAGATGCAATAAATGCACTTCTCAACAATTCATTTCTTTCAGCAGCAGCTTTCTGCAACTAAAGTAATTATAAATTGATAAATTAATTAGTATTATTATAAAATTATTATAATGTTTCTATAAAATCAAAAAATTTACTTTTTTGCGAGTAATACCACAATAAGCTAATGATCTCCATAAAGTTGGAACAGAGACACGTTTTTCTGTTCGTACTTGCATTACTTCTATATATTTATCAAGATAATAATCAACATTTTCACTAACAATTTCACGCAATATCTAATATATAATTGTATAATGAGTATACAACATATTCTTATACAAACAGTTCAGTTTACTATTTCTAATTATACTTACATTCATATTACTTCTATTGAAAACTTTTTTCTTTCCTGGTAGACGTCTCCATGGGTTTACAACACAACCCCACTTTGCATATATATTTATTACTTTATTCACTAATGTTTCTCCAATATAAAGTAGTTTTGCAATTTGTTTTCTTGAGTATCCATCATTATATAAGAGTATTATACGCCATTTGAGATCCTCAGCTAAAGTTTTGGCCATAAAAACTTCGCAAAAAGAGAAAAAAGAAAATTAGAAGGAAATCTTCAAAAAAACGCGTAACTTTATTGTTTGAAAACCAGCTCTTACTTAGTAAATATTATACCTGAAAATTTGTAGGTGTCTAGTTTATTGTAAAATGTTTATGAAATTGTGAGGAAATTGGAGGAAATCAGACATAACGAAAAAGTTTTATTAGAAGCGTTTAAAAAAAAATGGTGGAAATCGGAGAAATCAAATCTGATTATCATATGGTTACACGGTCAGGCTGATCGCACTAAATTGAAAACAGCGATAAATATTTAATATATTAGTTATAATAGATTTTTAGTTAAAATTACTTTTTTTTGCTAAAATTCTTTTTTATAAATATTTTAACATTCAGTAATTCAATTTTGATGAATTTTTTTAAATTATAAAGTTCAATAAGAGGTATAAAATAAAAAAAAGTTTATCAAAATTGAACTAGAAAATTGTATAACTCTAATTTTTAACTTTTTTTAATTTGATAAATGTATGGCTTATAACTTGTTTTAAAAATATTTAGGGTTTTGTATTAAGCAATATTTTAAATTATTTGAAACTAGATAAATTACTAATACTACCTAAAGGTAGTTTGTTATATTGGGAAAATTTTAATCATTAATCTCATACTAGTCTCATACTTTTGCAAAACCTGAATCAACTAATTAAATCAATATAACAGTTATATTATTTAGCATAAAGTGCTAAATAACTATTATATATATTAATATATCTTTATTCTAGTATTTAAATGAATAGCAAAATATTAGAAAAAGAAAAAGCTTATTAATAAATACAGTAATTCTATATAAGCATAATAATATCCATAAAATATAAGCATAGTATATTAGATATATATTATATACTTTATTACAAATACAGCTAAAAAATAGTTTTGAAAATTGAAACTTAATTAGAATTTTAAAATGAAAGTGAAATTTTTATAATTAATATTCAAATTTATTCATATAGATAAATGCTTACAATTTAGTTCATTTTTTATCTATAAGCGACTCTCTATAAATGCATTTCCATGTGCACACTTTCGCTCACCAAGTTAATATTATTTACTCTTTATAAATTATAAATACACACCCTCTTTAAATGCATGATTTATTATGGAGATTCGTAGTTGACTATAGTCATTATGGACGCGTATTATAATAATATGCGTGCATAATGTACACTCGAGTACTCGACTATATTTCAAATATTAATGGTGACGATAAATCAATAGAAAATTTTTCCTATGAACACGCGACTAATTCAAATACCAATATTGATGATATTACTATAAATAAAAAAAGTTGTAAGATTATGATAAACATATCGTACATACCAAAATTATCTATAATTGAGAATAAAATTTCTTAAACCTTTCATTTGCATGGTTTAATTCTCTACTAGTATCTAGTGCTTTCGACCCAGATTGATCTGTTAATTAGCATCACAACATTTTTCTATTATTTTTGTCAACTATAATTTTTGTCAGATTTAAAAAAATCAATCATCTACAAATTTTACTAATTTTGGCCAAACTTATAGCTCCAACTCAAATAAACCGATGCCAAACCGTAGTAAACCCGGATTGATCTGTTAAAAAACCCATCCGGGTCGAAGCACTACTAGTATCACTTGAAACATTTCACAGAATTCCTATTCCTTTTACACACAACTTGGACTTTTACTAAGATTATGGTTTGTTTTAGTGCAGGTTGAGATAAGCTTTTAAAGTAATCCTCAAATAGAATCAAATACTAATATATTTAATGTGATATTACCACTAACAATAGTATCTAGAAAAAATTTTAAACCAATTCCCATTTGTTTCTTCCCGTCGGTAGTTTTGCACAGGATGACAAAATTTCGAACTCGTTTGTTTTCATATTTATGATAAAATATTGCGCCAGATTTTGGCTGTGTGCCGATGCACGTGTCAAAAACTAATATCCGGTTAAATTCATGTGAAAATGTAATAAGCCATAGTACTTATGTTCACACGCTAGATAAAATAGACAAAAAAGAACCGTTCCCTTTTATTCAAAATTATCAAATACCTTTACTGAATGATCCGAAATTTAGCGCAAGCCTCGCGGCTAACTTAACAGTATATATATTAAAACCGTTTTCGTTTTAATACTAGACTTTTGTTAGTTTTTCCGCTTTAATAATTTTTTTTTTGTTTTTATCGTTTTTCATGAGTAATCTTGAAGACCCGTGAAACAAACCTATAGAATAAACATCAAAACATATTATTTTATTAGACGGTTATTCCCCATCAGTATAGAAAATAGATTTTAAAAGATATTTCAAATTTAGGAAGTATTAAATATTCAAAGAAATACATAATTAGAAAATACATAATCTTTATTTATTACCTTATGTTTGATTCAATATTTGGATTGTCGAAATCAAATGGATGACAATAAGGCTGAGCAGCTCACAACTTGTTTCATTTATCGATTAATACAATATTAAAATTAACAAAGGCTTATTTATATAAGGAAGTATTTTGAAAATTGCTTACCCATTTAAAGTGAAAATTTCAGAAATCTTATTAAATTCGATTATCAGATTAAAATGAATAAAAAAGTAAGAGAAGTGAATATGTTTATTTTTGTGACACAAAATTCTTTATTGTTAGTTACTTTTAGAAATTTTAAATCGCAACATACCTGAGATACCAGACACATAGCTAGTAAATTTTAATAAATTAAACGCGTCTATAAGAACGCGTTACGCGAAGATTTAGTATTAAGAACAACATTACGCACATTACGCACAGCCATAAAATCATAAAAATCATTGTTTCAGAGACGTATCAGCCAAACATGAAACAACTTAATTAGGAAATGTATCAAATTTGTGCCACATTAAAAAATTGTAAGAAAAAGGAAAAAAAAAAATATATCGGAAGTAATCTCCGAAAAAATTGTTTAAAAATATCATTAATGCATTAAGCGCATAGTTAAATAATTTGATAAGCTTATGAAATCAGGATTAACAAATGAAATTATAGCTTTTTGTTTACGCATGAATTGTAAAGGATACAACCTATGGCGCAGTAAGTTAAAAACAACTTTCTCTTTTTTTTTTTTTGAAAGGGGAAGGGTTAAAAATATTCAAACCTTCCAAGAAGAAAATTCTTGGGATTACAGATTATGACAATGACATCAAATTTATATCAATTAAAAGAAAAGAATAAAAAAATTTTATAGTTTTACCTTTAACTTCAATGATTTACAATAATTTTCCTATTAAGGCTTGGCACAAAGAGAAATGAGCCAAATAATAAGACAAGCTCTACGGATATTTTTCATTTAAGTAATAAATCTAACCAAAAAGAAGTTAAAATTATTATTCGTATAATGAACTTAAGTGGCAAAAGTTGTTATTTTTAATTAACAAAATAGTAACCCGGATCTTAGAATTACCGGCAATACTCGGAGATAACGGAAATGGGAATCTATAGTTATATTTAGTATCCGGTTAAATTATGTATCAATTTTTATTCCAGATTTGAATTTTTTTTTTTTTTTCTATTTTTTTTTTTTTTTTCCTTGTTCTAAAAATATCTTCACATTTTTCTCTAGAACTTTCCAGAAATATTTTCAAAAGTGATTTTTGCGCGTCTTATGCGTCCACNTTTTTTTTTTTTTTAAAAAAAAAAAAAATCTTTAAATATAGATTATAATATACTTAACTCCGACATATACGTGTTTTGACAATTTTCGCCAAGAATAATGAAAAACACGCTACCTGCAGCGATGAATAATCCCTCTTTTGTATAGGCGTACAATGCATTTTTATGCATTTTTTTTTTTCAATCCGCAGCAAACAATGATAATTCGAGTGTATTTTAAGGTAAAACTATTATTTATTTATTTAATGTCAATATATATTTAGATTACATTTACACAATCATAAATAAAATAAAAAAAGTTTTTGGTTTATTTTAAAATTAGAAGTCCCACATTTTAAAATAATTTAACCAATTTGAATCCTGATTCAAAACTGGAACAATTACGTTATAATAAGGCTTTTTTGTTCTTGATGATCTAAGATTATTAAAGAATGATCCGTCTTTGAATTGAAATGTTCTTTATATAGAAATAACCGGTCCCTTGATGATCAAATCACGTGGAATTACCCATGGAGATTCGTTATGATATGATATTAAAAAGGTATGATTTTATTAATTTATATTGTAATAATCAATAGACACTTCTTAATAAATAAATTACATACAAAGGGATTGATGTCTCAAAAGTTGTCTCAGGGGAAAATAAATAGCTAAATATAAACAAAGACAATATAAAAATAAAAAATAAAATAATATAAATAATTACCAAAACTTACAAAAAGTGGGCGCGCATATCGTTGCATTTTGCATAATAAACAGGTGTAATATATTACATTACACAGTTACGTTTTTGATGTGAAACGGAATCAATGTATTTTTTTTTTATGTGTATAAAAATACTTGAAATTTGGTAATTACTTTGAAAAAAAATTTTTTTTTTTTTCCTGCTCATCGTTTTTTTTCTCTTTTATATTTAAAATATATATTTACATATATAAAATATATCTATTTATCGGAACTCATTTTTCTTAACGACACTTGCTAACGTCATAAAAAAAAGAAAAAGAGAAATTTGATATTTATTTCGGAAACCAAAAAAAAAACAACCACAATATATACATATATATATATTAAAAAATAAAATATGGCACGAAATTTCATAATTTCGTTTTTGGTTTTACTCTTTATTATAACATTCACAAATTCAATCCCACTGGATGAAAGGTCGATATCTCACAGGGGAGAATCATCAATAGTTAAGCGACAAGATAGTCCACCATATTATGTATTACATGCTTTTTTCGAACCAGAATTTGATCCTTTTGGTGAGGTTGGCGAATATGTAACAGGAACATTTACTTTTACTCTAATGAATGACGGTGGAATTAGAGTGATTGGTCAATGTAATACTGGTTTTACTGATCCAGATCCAAGCGTTTACTCTATTATAATTGTAAGAAGACCTGTGTGTCCTACATATATTTCACATTTGGACTTGACACCATTTTTACAATATTATATTAATGTTCCTGGAACTTCTGGTTTTCAACATGATTTTTATAATACCTTCACTTTAGAAGAAATTCATCATATGTTTGTAGTAGTTAAAATGGGTGCTACTCCAATAGGTGCTGCCTACATTCAAGCTGTTGGGGAGGATTAGTGTTTAATAATATAAGTAAATATTAATAAGAATTAAGGGAGAATTATGTTTAAGAGGGGGTGCGTTAAAGTATTTTAATCATTTCGCTTTACCCTAATTATTTTAAAATATATTAAACTAGTTTTTCTTCGATAATTCTTTTATATGAAAAAATATATATTATTTTTTCTTTTTTAACTTATTTTTTTTCGATTTACCATAGTTTGTAAATAAAGGATTGAGCATAAAAAATAAAAACAAAATTAATATAATTTAGATGCTCATTAAATTTTTGTAACAATAAATAATACATTTTAATTTTCTCAACTGACGAATAAAAAAACTTATTCATTCAATGAGCTAAGGCGCAGGACTATACCGCTCTAATTAACTAAGTAACTGGTTCCGATTTTAAAAGATGCAGATACTCTAAATTTAATTAATTGTAATAATTCATCTATCTTATCGATACCCTATCGTGAGTTCGAATCAGATTTTTATTGGGCGAAATTGATTGGGCCTTATCTATCATTTATAGAAAAGAAGTTAATAAAACATTAAATAAATGTATTACATTTCATAACATAATCCTGTATATTTAATTTTTTTGCTATAAACCATGTTTTCATCCTTCAGTAATTATAGTAATTATTCAAACAGAAAAAAAAATCATACTCATTTAAGTTTCTGAAATTTAAGCCAAACGAGAGCATTAGTACCGAAGCCACAAAAGTATATAATTTGGGCTAAGATCACGTGGTAACGCCGATTCTAGCCAATAATTTTTTATATAATTTTATGACTTTTACTGAATTTCAGCATAAACTAGATGCTATTTTTATGTAGTTTTTTCTTAATCACATATATTTTTTTATTCTGTTGATAAGAGAATGAATATTAAAGAATAAAGGATGAACCTATTAATTTAGATTATTATTTAAATTGGAATGTAAAAATTTAAATTGAATTTGAATAGTTTTTTTTAAAATAAAATCAGATTACTAGTTATAAAAGTATGTTAATTTTACTTGTAAATATTATACTTAAAACTACAGAATTAAAATGTAAATAGGTTTAATATTGTTAATTAATAACTTTATTTCAGTTAAATAAAATTACTTTTAAGTTTTAAATTTATAAAAAAAATTTTATTATTAAATTTTAAAAGTAAAAAAATTTCTTAATATTTAATTTTTTAAATTATAATTAAATCTATTAAAATCTTGTATAAGGCTAATTTTAATCCAAAATAATTTAATCTGAATAATTTTATTTACTAATAAATTTTATATAATTTCATCCAAATTTTTAAAAAACAAATGTAAATTATGATCACAATCAAAAATATAAAAAATATTGTCTGTAGTTATTATACTTTATAATGTTCAAATAAATAAAAAATATATATAAAGTGAATTTGTTATAATAATATTTTTAGTTATATAAACTTAACATTTACTTATAATTTAAACTAATTATAAAAAATTTCTTTTTTTATCCAGTTGGTTATAAGATATTCTATAAATTTTAATGTTAAATTTAATATTTATATAAAAAACATATTGTAAAACTTTTTTTTAATATTAAAAGTTCCTAAAATAAATAATAACAAATATTTTTTTTTTTGTAAACTTTTTAAAAGAAATTATTAATGTAAAATATAAATTGATTATTTAATTATTTAATTTAAAGGATAAATAAGTAAAACTCTAAAATTTTATACTGATTTTTTAAAATTAAAAACTACTTTTTTTATTTAAAATTTATTTAAAAGTGAAATATAAAAGTAATTTTTAAAATAGGAATTGGTTTAATATTTTAATTAAGAAAATTTCTAATTTTAATTAAAAGAAAAATTTCTTTTATGATAAAAAAGAGGTAACAAATAGGATTTTTAATAACAAAAAATTTCTAAATTTTCAGATTTATTAACAAAAATAAAGACTATAGGGATATAATACATTATAATAAATAAACCTAATCTCTTAATTTAACTTTAACTTAATTTTAATCTTAATTTTAATACTAACTCTAATAAATATTAGAAAAAAGAATTTTCTTTCCAATTAAAATAATATTAGAATAATTTATAAATAAAAATAAATCCTTAATAATAAAAAAAATTTTTATAAATTTTTATAAATTTTATTAAAAAAAATATTTAAAAATTTAATTTAATAATCTACTATGGTCCAGTGCAAAAAGATTTGTACCTCAAACAGAGGACCGAAAAAAAAATTTTTTATTATGTAAATTTTTTTTATTTATTTAATTATATCAATAACATGTTGGGAAAATCAAAATATGAATATTAGATTAAATAACGCAATCTTCATCAGAATTATCATATTCGTCAAAATCTTCATCCATTAATTGTGCATTATCGTCAAATTCTAAGTATTCCTTAGCATTTTTAAGTGCTCTTCTCCAGAACCCAATGATTACCTGTGATGTAATTTTTTTTTTAAAAGCATTTAAAAGTGTATTTCGAACAGATAAAATGTTTGGATGTGGGCCTGAATGTGCAACTTCACCCTTCACAACTGACCAAATACCTTCAATTTGCTGAAGTTCACAATGATATGGAGGGGTAAATGAAACTTCATGTTCATACTGTTTTGCAATTTTAACATAAGCAAATGTCACCTTTTCTTTGTTCATTTGAACCAGCTCCAAAAGTTCTGGTCTTCTTAATTCATTAGAAAAAACAATATTGTGAGCATTTAGCCAATCAATTATTTCCTGCTTTTTTGTATTTGAAGTTGGAATATTTTCAACCCGCCGTTTATGATAACTTGCTCCATCCATATGAATATTTACAGGTCCATATTTTTCATAAAGTGCTTTACAAAAAGTTGAAAAAAGGTCTTCAAAAATTTCTGCATTAAAATTTCCATGATAATCTACTTGATTTAGCATAATATTTGCATCTTTGACAACATCGGGAATGTTATCCCATTCATCAGCATTGTTTCTTTTTCGTCCCCGGTTTCCAGGAGGTTTAATTGTTGGGTCCCAAATGTGAACAGAGTTGGGAACAAGTTCACCATGTAGTTTGTTGGAAGATCCATTTCGGAATACAATAATTGCTCCAAAAATTACTACTAATGGACCATGTCCAGGTGCTAAAACAACACCTTGATGGGGAACCCATGTATTGCGTGAAGTATGATGTAAATGACAGTAAGACTCATCAAGAAAGACTTCTGGA